TCACTGGTTCTGGTTCCACATGGAAGGGAGTCTACATTCAATTTTATAACAAGTAATATTGAAATCACTACTTTACTCTCCTCCTCAAGAATACCATCAAACAAAATGGATCTCCATTCTGTGCCACACTGCATATATGGTGGCCAGTCCATATTTTTCAGTACTTCTCTTGCTTAAAATGTATAACTCGTATGTCATTGTTTCTATCTTAAATTAAAATCACACATACATATACGCTGATAAAAACTAGATATCAATTTACTCTGTGATCACTCTTATCTCAATTCTTTATACACAGCTTGGACATCAGTTTACCCACAACTCTGAAAGCAACAAACAACACCTCACTTTGCACATGACCCTCTGTCACAAAATTAAACTTTATTTATTCAAACTCTCTGAACAAACTCTATACACAAACTCTCTGGACAAACTATAACAAACTCTATACACAAACTCTCTGGGCAAACTCTATAAATAAACTCTCTGAACAATCTGTACACATACTCGCTGGACAAACTCTTTACACAAAGTCTATATACAAACTCTGTGGACAAACTATACACACACTCGCTGGACAAACTCTCTGGACAAACTCTTTACACAAAGTCTATATACAAACTCTCTGGACAAACTATACACACACTCGCTGGACAAACTCTCTGGACAAACTCTTTACACAAAGTCTATATACAAACTCTCTGGACAAACTATACACACACTCGCTGGACAAACTCTCTGGACAAACTCTTTACACAAAGTCTATATACAAACTCTCTGGACAAACTATACACACACTCGCTGGACAAAGTCTGTGCACAAACTCTCTGGACACAAAATCTAAATACCATTTCACACAAAGACCATTTCCTACAGCAGTCATTATACAAAAACGAACATCCCTTCACATTTAAATCACTTTCCTTAAACACTGTACATAAGAACAAGCTGACACATTTCCTGACAACCCTAACAACACACTTCCTGACAACCCTAACAACACACTTCTTGACAACCCTAACAACACACTTCCTGACAACCCTAACAACACATTCTCATAATATTATTAAAATAATATATTCTTGTGAAAGTTTACTTAACAAAATAAACAGCTGACATGAAGGAAGTATTTAGGAACAAAGGCTGTCAGTGTGGATTTCAAGAACTGTATTATGTAGAAAAGATGCCAGCTATGAGACGAACTATTCATTCCCTCTGTATCAACTTCCAAAGCCTAAACTGAAGGCCATCTCAACTATCATCTGGCTGGCCGATTCATGGAAGCAGACGTACATTTCCTGTGACCTTGGAGATGACCAACAACGCCTGCAGGACAAAATATACATATCTATATAAATTAAATATTAAACAGAAACTAAATAAATGGGATCAGCTGATTTCTGATAGGACTGAAACAAAACAAATTATGGTATGTTTCTGATCCTGCACAAATAATAAGGCAACAACTAGTTTTTGCCCTTTATCGAACACAAATTTCAAATAAAGTTACCTGCTTTGTCTGAATGTAAAATCATTTCTCAATGCTGTCTGATCTGTGCGTATCTGCCATCAATGTTCTTTGTCTTTTCCTTGTGATTTTTTATTAATGATGTTGTAAACTCCCAGCCTCAGCACCTATGTTTAAACTCCCAGCCCCAGCACCTATGTTTAAACTTGCAGCCCCAGCACCTATGTTTCAACTCCTAGCCCCAGCACCTATGTTTAAACTTGCAGCCCCAGCACCTATGTTTAATCTTGCAGCCCCAGCACCTATGTTTAAACTCCCAGCCCCAGCACCTATGTTTCAACTTGCAGCCCCAGCACCTATGTTTAAACTCCCAGCCCCAGCACCTATGTTTAAACTTGCAGCCCCAGCACCTATGTTTAAACTTGCAGCCCCAGCACCTATGTTTCAACTCCTAGCCCTAGCACCTATGTTTAAACTTGCAGCCCCAGCACCTATGTTTAAACTTCCAGCCCCAGCACCTATGTTTAAACTGCCAGCCCCAGCACCTATGTTTAAACTCCCAGCCCCAGCACCTATGTTTAAACGCCCAGCTTCAGCACCTATGTTTAAACTCCCAGCTTCAGCACCTATGTTTAAACTTGCAGCCCCAGCACCTATGTTTAAACTTGCAGCCCCAGCACCTATGTTTAAACTTGCAGCCCCAGCACCTATGTTTAAACTTGCAGCCCCAGCACCTATGTTTAAACTCCCAGCTTCAGCACCTATGTTTAAACTCCCAGCCCCAGCACCTATGTTTAATCTTGCAGCCCCAGCACCTATGTTTAAACTCCCAGCCCCAGCACCTATGTTTAAACTCTCAGCTTAAGCACCTATGTTTAAACTTGCAGCCCCAGCACCTATGTTTCAACTCCCAGCCCCAGCACCTATGTTTAAACTCCCAGCCCCAGCACCTATGTTTCAACTTGCAGCCCCAGCACCTATGTTTAAACTCCCAGCCCCAGCACCTATGTTTAAACTTGCAGCCCCAGCACCTATGTTTAAACTTGCAGCCCCAGCACCTATGTTTCAACTCCTAGCCCTAGCACCTATGTTTAAACTTGCAGCCCCAGCACCTATGTTTAAACTTCCAGCCCCAGCACCTATGTTTAAACTGCCAGCCCCAGCACCTATGTTTAAACTCCCAGCCCCAGCACCTATGTTTAAACTCCCAGCTTCAGCACCTATGTTTAAACTCCCAGCTTCAGCACCTATGTTTAAACTTGCAGCCCCAGCACCTATGTTTAAACTTGCAGCCCCAGCACCTATGTTTAAACTTGCAGCCCCAGCACCTATGTTTAAAATTGCAGCCCCAGCACCTATGTTTAAACTCCCAGCTTCAGCACCTATGTTTAAACTCCCAGCCCCAGCACCTATGTTTAAACTTGCAGCCCCAGCACCTATGTTTAACTTGCAGCCCCAGCACCTATGTTTAAACTTGCAGCCCCAGCACCTATGTTTAAACTTGCAGCCCCAGCACCTATGTTTAAACTCCCAGCCCCAGCACCTATGTTTAAACTCCCAGCCCCAGCACCTATGTTTAATCTTGCAGCCCCAGCACCTATGTTTAAACTCCCAGCCCCAGCACCTATGTTTAAACTCTCAGCTTAAGCACCTATGTTTAAACTTGCAGCCCCAGCACCTATGTTTCAACTCCCAGCCCCAGCACCTATGTTTAAACTTGCAGCCCCAGCACCTGTGTTTAAACTTGCAGCCCCAGCACCTATGTTTAAACTCCCAGCTTCAGCACCTATGTTTAAACTTGCAGCCCCAGCACCTGTGTTTAAACTTGCAGCCCCAGCACCTATGTTTAAACTTACAGCCTTAGCACCTATGTTTAAACTTGCAGCCCCAGCACCTGTGTTTAAACTTGCAGCCCCAGCACCTATGTTTAAACTTACAGCCTTAGCACCCATGTTGATTTCTGCCCACATCATTCTTATTAAAGACCACAACTCTACAACCTTTATTTCCTCCACCATACCATTATTCATCACACAACTGAAGTACCTCTACTATTTCCTCATCATTTAATCACTCAATGTGCATCACTCATGCAATACAACATATTGGCTAGTTAGCATGACAACTTTCAATCTGTTAGTACAACAGTGTTAATTGTACTATGGGGGATAGGGTGGAAAAGGGGGGTGCGGCAATCACAGGCAGGCGGCTAGAGTAATTAGCAAGACTCAAAGATGTCAATGACAACAACAACAACAAAATTCATCTCCTACATTTACAGCATGTGATCTCAGCAACACTGCTGCCACTGCATGAGTTCAACATATATTATCTCATTTTGTGAAATTCACAAAAGGTTCTGCAGCAGACGACAAATGGGGAAAACCCACAGTGAACAATTACAAGCACATGATTTTTACAAATCTTAAATACAGAGGAAATTGCAAATATGGATGCCAGATTTCTGTAAGAAAAGACATTCTGCGATGTTGAGAATTTAAGAAGATGGCACAATCCCGTATGTAATGCTTAGGACTAATAGAGGACAGGTTCAACTGCAGTGTCCTCCAGTATGGCTGTTTCTCATACATCCTCAAGAAACTGCTGAATATGATTTTGGATGATTCTCATACATCCTCAAGAAACTGCTGAATATGACTTTGGATGATTCTCACACATCCTCAAGAAACTGCTGAATATGACTTTGGATGATTCTCATACATCCTCAAGAAACTGATGAACATGACTTTGGATGATTCTCATATATCCTCAAGAGACTGTTGAACATGAATTCACTGGCTGTCCAGCCTCTGCAGCACAGAAAATTGTTACTTCCCCAAACAACAAATAAATGAAACACTTTCAGAGAAACAAAACAATCCGCTGATAGTCACATGCATGGATCACAAAGTAACACAGGCAACAGAGTGTGTCAGTGTTGCTGGGTCAATAAAACAAATCGTCATATAAGAAACACATGCTAAAAATACCACACTTACCCAACGACCCAATAATTGAGAGTAGTAATTTGCCGTTTTCTTTCGGATGATGACTGGAACGTACAAGAAAATAAAGTTCCTGCTTCACTGCAGTCGTCATCATTTTCTACTGGCAAGCTATAGCTGGATTTATTTGTATCTTGGCTCGAAACCTGCCAGAGATACAAAAACATAAGCGGTTATCTACCTTTAAAGAAAAATAAATGACCCCCAAATGGAGAGAATAATTATCTGTGAACTGGCTTCATGTCGACTCAAACACAGATCTCCGATGACACTGGTAGCTGTATGGGATGGTGAACTATGACACATGATGATGATGATGTATAGCATGCATTACTCATAGTTATCATTTGCCAGTTTGTACAAATCTGCACTGAAATATTTTAAGCACAAATATTACTCTAAGCTCTTTATATCTCATCATATAGTTATTACTTTGGCTCCTCGTGATCTTTATTCAATCACAGAAATTGCCTGGCATACATTCAGCAAATACAATGACCTATGACCTTAGAAACATCACAATAAAATCACAGAATTATAGTCACCTGATTTCGGAACAATGTCCTCATTTTGCGGCAACAAGATGAGAAGTTATCAATTACTTGTTGCTGTAAGCTAGAATGTACATCCATTATTTCTGCCTCTGTTGGGGTTATCAGAATGCCTTCCGCTGAATCCAAATGTAGAAAGGTGAACAAAGTTGACTCATTGCCTCTCTCCAACCTAAAGAGCACATGCAGAAAAATGTCAGATAAAAGTATGAAAGACAGTCAAAAGTAATGCCTCCTATTTTTTATCAATGTAAATGCTGTATCGGTGTGTTTTAAATTCAGCAAGAATCCTTAAATATTCTTCTGCACTGTGTAACATTACCAACCTGTTTCAATAACAGGTGGCACCATTGTAACAGTATAAAAATGGCTTCCATGGATTTTGGTTAATGCAATGTCATGTCATAGAACTCCTCAATGCTGAATGTGAGACCCCGACAGGCATCCACGAACATTTGAAGAACATTTATGGAGAGTCAACAGTGGATGTAGGCACTGTCTGATCCTGGGTAGGTCGAAGTAGAGGTTTCAACTTCACTGGAATCGAGTTCCCCCAAACTTGCTCTGTTTCTGTGTCAGTGAAAATCAATGAAATGTCCCTTACTGTGGCACTTGAAACACTAGGAAACAAACAATTAGTCTGGAACAATCCAGAAGTATGTGCACTCAGTAAATGAATATGGCAGTTGCCAGAGGCACCAAATCCAACAGTCGCCACCAGAAATACAGTCCGTCATTGACAGAAGCAGTCAGGCACGATAAGTTGGCTATACACATGTACATCGCTGTGATGAAGCTCAAGCGGTTCAACCTTCAGTGGCTGACACAAAATGGACTGGCTGGCTGTCTACCACAGTTACTCCACACAATATTCATCGATTTGATGACGACATCACTGGTGCTGACCGTCGGGTATCACTGAGAAAAACTGTGGGGTACTGATTTCTGAATGCTCCATATAGACAGACTACTTCTTCATTCTACATTGATCATCCCTTTCTGATTTGCTTTCCCCAACCTCATTCAAGATATCGCTATGAAATTCTGTAGTGATTTTACCTCCTTTTCCCCAAGACATCATGCGGGGCATTGATCTGTAAGTAGGACACACTGCGTGATATGCCCGGCAAGTCAGCAGCAGAACTGAACCTGGAGCCTTTACTCTGAAATGATGTTCAACAAAAGAGCAACATAATTCAGTTGCAGATGTAGACAGCTGTCTCTTTTCTATTCTCAAAATAATTTAATGAATAATAGAAATAACAAGTCTTTCCACTTCAATGATCCATGTTTCAGATGCATCTATTTCCTACATGGGTTCTAAACAGGTCAGTGTGCTTGAAATCTTCACCAGTCTCCCATATCTTGAAGGATGACTCCTTTGGGTGAGAACCCCCCTTTCCCAACCGTAAAATCTAGGTAGTCATGTACGATGTACCCTGGAGTTTTCTTTGTGTCTAACACTACAAGTGTCAGCACACTACAAGTGTCAGCACACTACAAGTGTCAGCACACTACAAGAGTCAGCACACTACAAGTGTCAGACTCACTGGCTAAAGGTGTAACAGTAAACAGCAGAGCACCCGTTGTCCATGCCTGGAGACAATCTCACCATATGGTGCTAGTTATTTTATAGATGAAAGCTTGCTTGACAGCCCAGTGGTCAAACATTCAAATTCCCATAGAAAGACACTTTGTTAAACTGGTCAACTCCAGACTGACCCATTCTAAACGGGTAACAGGAAATGTTCTGGGAAGTAAAGTGCAGCGTAGTCTATAACATAACACCATCTACCCTGTAAGGTCTTTTAATTACTCCTGCACACACATGGTGAATATAAATAGGCATTCCCAAGAGCTGTGAAATTTGGTAACAATTCCTAAAGGTTAAAAAAATATATATATATATACATATATATATATATATATATATATATATATATATATATATATATATATATATATATATATATATATATATATACTTTAATGGGGATTTAAATCTCAGACTACTGGACCAGAAGGCACCTGTGTGCTAGCCACTGCACTACTGTGCCACCCTTTCTGAAAGAAATTACCTTTGAAAGTCCAGCACTGCTACCACTGCCAGCAGAATCATTGGAACCATACGACAGTTTGCTGCCCTGTCTCTTTATGAAGGCAGTACTGCCAGCGTCACTTCTGTCATCTGGGGAGAAGACACAAACACACATTAGCTGGCAACCACTTTGTGAGCATTTGGTACAAGTAAAGATATCTCACTTTCTCAAATTTGCTATATTAAATAAGGTTTGATTTGTATCCTGGCACAGGAAGATCTTGATAAACGCTTGTAGAGGATGGCATATTGATATCTCCACATGCACTCCATAGCACCAGCAAGCAGCACATTGTCTGTAGACAAAACTTGACATACTATATTCATTTTTTGTGTGTTGGTGCTTTTTTATACTTTAGAATTTTAGCCAGAGTTCTGGCCTATTCTCCTGATCTTTTTTATTTCAACTGCTGAGGGAACTCCAACATAAATAATGTACATATATACGTTTGCCAAATTTGTTAAAAAAAATCCTTGTCGGAGAGCGCTAGATTTGAAAGCGGCAGTGATAATATGGACAATAGTCAAGTAAAAGGACCCTTTTCCAAACCTTCGGACACATTGGGCATATAGTGCTAGACCTATATTTGACAGACAAATCTGCACTCGGTGTTGATGTGGTCAACATCATGGCAGCCACCTTTACTTCCCAAAACTTTCCCCTGGTACTCACTCAAGGCTGCGTGCACCTGCAAGCCTAGGTGATATTTAAACAAAAACACACAAAAAATCAGGTTCTTTGGATTCGAATCCATGACTTTCAGATCTGCATTATGGACAATAAACAAATTGAATTTAACACCACTGCTTACCCATCCTGTCCACAGATTTTGTTCTGGAAAATGGGCTCTTGGGGAAAGATATTGTTGGCGTCAGAGCTATATTTCAAGACAAAACAAACATTAGTGTCAGAGCTAAATGTCAACACAAACCACACACACACACACACACAATTCTTTTAAACTACAGAATGGCACAGAAGAAGTACATACAAATAACTATTTAAACCCATTATTACATAAATTTATCTAGATAAACAGATGTTCCTGCTTTTTTCTGTCTGCTTTCCCATGCTTCTTCATCTCTTGTATTTTTATCAACACAATCTTTTTGTCTTTTTTCCTCTAAGTTAAACTGTTTAACAGTTATTGTCAGTTATCAATGTTGATTTATATTTATTCTTGTCTGTTCATCTGAGGACGTAAATTCGTTGTGCCTGTTTCCAACAGGGCTGCAATATCTTAATTTTTCGGCAGACACATCCAGCTTCTCCAGGCATTAGTTGCCCGGGTTAACATTCCCGGCTAGTTCTGTGGGACACTGCAGTGTGGTCATCTTTGTTTCCTAGTCTCGAGGAGGTGGTGCTCCCATCAGGCCGATCCACAGCAGCAGTAAGATATGCTGGTCAGCTTGAAGAAAAGGTAGCAGTAGAACTTGAGCCTTCCCCACCATCCAGGGAGGCTTCCATAGGTGCAGAGCCGATACATGGTGCTGTGGTACTGGGCTCACCCAAGGAATTGTCACGTCTTGTTCATGACTGTTTAACCTCACTTCCATATACTGGGCCTCACAGACCTGGGACTTTGATTACCCAAAGTTTTTACTTTGCTTCATAGGCATGTCAGACTGATTGCAGTGGATTCTGTGTCCACTTCAGTTTCATGTCATTTCCCACAAAGATACCAAGGGGCATTAAATGTGGTTATTTCTGCTTATGACATGCTACAAATAACCTTACTGTCTGCTTCCATTCTCCCTAATCAATTAACAGTTTTTGGCTGTGTCATTTGAATCAATATCTTACCATTCAAGGTATTTTCGTCCATTTTTCTCAAAAACATATCCATTACTATAACAGGCAAGGACACTAAAAAAAATAAAAAAGATTGTCACCAACAAAGATCACGCTGTTTCTTACTGTCATTAACACCTGCAAAAATATCCCGGTTTCTCGGTGACATCAGTCGGCAGAGTTCATCTGCAGAAGCCAAGGAGACACTCTTACTTGTATCGATTAACCTAAAATAAAAGACAGAAAGTCAAAGAAGATTTAATCAAAGTCAAGATAATAGTCAACAAATGTATACATTTCTACAAAACTGTTTTTTTTTTTATAGATCATCAGTACCTGGGATTTCACTCTAGGCCATTAACTGATCCATGCAAATGTTTGCTGCGCATTACAGGATGTCCAGTTTAAGATCTGACCTTGGACCCTCTGTGATCCATTAGCTTCATTTTTTGGCCGTTAGAAAACCCAGCCCTGATATTTCTGGCTAGACCACATTTTTCTTCCAGCAACTGCCTTGTTGGATCTCTGATTTTATCAGAGCTGAAGTGCATTCAGTCATCATAGATTTGCTTTAGTTTAAAGAATCGACCTATTTCTTAAATTAATTGATTACAGGCACACAAAAATGGGTTCTGAAGAATGACAAAAATTATGGTGACAATTTATGTTTATGTACTGTAGTTTTTCAGACTGTGATTGTTTATTTATAATTGTCTGTAGTTTACAGGGTTTTACTGTAGGACATTAATAACAAAAGGACACAAAGCCTTCAATAAGACCAGGTACTGTCCCAGCCAATGATGCTCACCTTTCTTCACAGCACTGTGACATGTGCACTTCCTCTGTCTCCAGCTGTGCTAGAGTGGCCTTCCCCTGATCAACAAGTAAAGGAAGTGGACTTGCCTGGCCGTGTATCCATCGGCTACACCCGCCTGCTTCTATGACAGCTGCCAGGTAATAGTGCTTCTAAAGAGTAATAAACAAATATTACTTAATGAAACATGATATGAAATAACACAAAAACACATTCATAGGTACTGATTAGCACTCACGGAAGACAAAAGAAACAGAAATAAGGAGGACATGCTAAACAGAACCACTTCAAGTTACAGCTGTATCAGTTGTTTACTATGTTGGGAAAAGTTTGTTCACGGTTACAGCTGTATCAGTTGTTTACTATGTAGGGAAAAGTTTGTTCACGGTTACAGCTGTATCAGTTGTTTACTATGTAGGGAAAAGTTTGTTCACGGTTACAGATGTAATTTCTCTGAAGCTAGTGTTTGTTAACGAATGTTTTCAGAAAGAAACAGTGTTAATAATCTGTCATCTCTGGCCTCATGACAAACTAGAAATGACAGACTAGAGATGACAGACTAGAGATGACAGACTAGAGATGACAGACTAGAGATGACAGACTAGAGATGACAGACTAGAGATGACAGACTAGAAATGACAGACTAGAAATGACAGACTAGAAATGACAGACTAGAGATGACAGACTAGAGATGACAGACTAGAGATGACAGACTAGAGATCTGCCTGAAGATGACACACAGCACTAATACTCCCATGCAAACCTGCAGGACCTAGCCTGGGCCTGAGATCAACAATGTTTCTGGTCGCAGTTGAATCCAATCTATGTCTGAAAACTGGTTATGTGTCTCACAAATTAAGTAAAGGACCTTGTGCACCCCCTTAGGTGTACTGGGCATACAGGAGGGCTAGATCTATATGTTATAGACCTCTCAGTTCTTGGTGGGTGATGTGATCAGCGTTCTGGCAGCCATCTTGACTTGGTAGGACGCAGGACTTGACCTGTTCACCATTTAAGGCTGGGTCCACCTGCCAGCCATCTTGACTTCGTAGGACGCAGGACTTGACCTGTTCGGTAGGGACGACCCATTTTAAGGCTGGGTCCACCCTGCCTGACTTCCATCTTGACTGACCTGTTCACTATTTAAGGCTGGACGCAGGATTTGACCTGTTCACCATTTAAGGCTGGGTCGAGGTGGCAACCAAGGTCTTTTTTTTTTAAAAATAAGTCTGGCTTCATCAGGATATGAACTCCTGACCTTCGGATGCACAGACAAGCTACTAGTCGCTACATCATAGTGGCTCAGAGGTTGGTAAAATGATTTCATAATCAAAACCTTGACATCCCTATGGTTCAATTTCTATGGAAGAAAGTAGCAGCCAGACCAGATTGTATATGAGACTTTTCACAAAAAGAAAGGTTCTGGATGGGCATAATATGCAGAATGAACAATCCATCACTCAAGCAGCCCACGAAGCTACAATACAAATACAGAAACAAATACAGACCAACCTAGGACCTTGCATCATGGAAGAGATTGGAGCTAGACTATGGGCTGCAACCTGGGGTATCAGTTCCAAACCCATACCAATCTCCATTGACGGCGATCATTGCACGGGGCATGCAATCCTCGGTATCAGTGTGGACGACAAACGCCCACGAGCTGGGCTGCACTTTGGTCAGGAAAAGTCAGAAATGCACTGAAGATCTCGTTACAACATCCTCACAAAATAAACATCACAATGTGATTACATGAGAAAATCTGTCTTTAGGTGTCAATGATGAGCTGTCTCAGCAAGGTCACTAACCCAACACTGGGCGGACTAGTATCAGTGAGACCCAATATCAGCATTAGAGAGACAAACCCACGACACTTGAATAACGACCATGTCTGGATTATACTGACAGACACCACGACAAGAATGAGTGATGGTTCAGCCATTTAGTGCAACACTGGTATTCAGTGAGACGACTGCCAGACAATACAGCCAGACCAGATTGTATATGAGACTTTTCACAGTAAAATATTTGGGAGGATGGCGAGAGGAAAACCAAGGGATGGATACATAATATAGCTGAAACCTGCAAAAAAAAAAAAAGATGAACAATCCATCACTCAAGCCACCCAAGAAGCACAATACAAATACAGAAAACCACGACACTAGTCTACAACCTGGTATCAGTGAGACGACAAACCCACGACACTGGGCTGTAACCTGGTATCAGAAGACAAACGAAGAGAAAGAAGAAGAAGGTGTCGATTCTCCATCTGACCAGTATTTGCCTGTTAATTCAAAATGGACCACGGAAACATTGTGGACAAATGACATGGCCAGGTGCTGGCCCATCTATTTACAATACAACAGAGCATAAGAAATAAAACAACAGGTCTCGGAGAATATCTACATACCAAGCCAACAATCATGAGAAAACTGCGAGTCTGATTTGGTCTATAACCAGCAGACAAGAGGGAGGCATCCGGAGATGTGCGGGATTTCACTTCCTGCCAAACCATGACCTGGGTCACATGTTGTCGTGACGACAGGGCTAACAATCCATGACAGTTCATGAACAGATTTATGTTTCTTTGCTGCTCACACGGCACGTGGCTGGTAACTAAATATTCCTGAAGGATTTAAAGAAAATGGTGAGAAAAAATTACAAGGACAATTCAATTTATAAATAAAAAGTCAACGAACATATCAGGAGCACTGGGGTATTTGACTACAGATACTGGCGTGGGGTGTCAAATAACAAAGTATTCAATATCTTTTTTAAAAATCACACCATTTCCCTGTGGACAATTAGACGGAACCATCCCCGTGTGGTTTCCGGGGCCCTATTATAGGGAAAACAAGGACAGACCCCCTGCCTACCCAAAAACATGTCGCAAGAGTCAGACTAATTGGGAGCTTCATTCGGAGCATCTGCCTGAGAGGCAAGGAACCAGCAGTCTGCGTACAACTGAGTCAGATCTGTAGAATGCACATGCAAAACTCAGGTTCTGGAACAGCACTGCAGTCCAGAAGTGGATGAATAACCAGAACTTTCCGCCAGAGTTAACAGCTGGTGAACGTGAAGAAAAAGAAAGCAATAAGGTGTGACATACTGAGAACAAGTGGTTGGAACATCTGACATCTGTAATTAAAAAAGAGCTGATAGAATAGGCTGCTGCCCAGGTAGCATTTGAAAAAGAAAAGCTAACACCCCACACACATGACATGTTATAATATGCATGATTCTAGAGAATAAATAGGTAAACCCTAGCTGGTACTGCAGAGTTTGTGCACATTTCTGAGATTCTCCTGGTGTGGTCTGTGGGAGAAGACTGATGCCCATACGGAGATATACAAGTGCTATAAGAGTGATCGTCTACTACACTAATCCCTGCAGAGCTTCCTGGATACAGACACTGTAGAAAAAAGGATCTCTGCGGCCAAAGAAGCCTTGAAACACCATCAAAGAGTCACAGAAAATTCCCCCCAAGATGACAAATAAAATCATTACCGATACCCTTCATACTTCTATTGGAACAAACACAGGAACTTTATTTTAAACATTTGGCAAGCAGGAATCCTTCTTAAGAGTCAGGTCAACTGAAGCATCTTTTCCCACATCTTCAGGTATACTGGGTATATAGGGTTAGACCTATATTTTTTAGGCCAAGCGGCACTCTGTGGGTGACCGCCTAAAATTCACAGAAATTCAACTGCTACCCATTTAAGGCTGGGCTGACCTCAGAGTCAGGGTCATTTTTTTTTTTAAAGATCAGCTCCATCAGGACATGAACCCACAGCAGCTAGTTGCTACACCACAGCGTCTAGTTGCTACACCACAGCGTCTAGTTGCTACACCACAGCGTCTAGTTGCTACACCACAGCGTCTAGTTGCTACACCACAGCGTCTAGTTGCTACACCACAGTGTCTAGTTGCTACACCACAGTGTCTAGTTGCTACACCACAGTGTCTAGTTGCTACACCACAGTGTCTAGTTGCTACACCACAGCAGCTAGTTGCTACACCACAGTGTCTAGTTGCTACACCACAGTGTCTAGTTGCTACACCACAGTGTCTAGTTGCTACACCACAGCAGCTAGTTGCTACACCACAGTGTCTAGTTGCTACACCACAGTGTCTAGTTGCTACACCACAGTGTCTAGTTGCTACACCACAGTGTCTAGTTGCTACACCACAGTGTCTAGCTGCTACACCACAGTGTCTAGTTGCTACACCACAGTGTCTAGTTGCTACACCACAGTGTCTAGTTGCTACACCACAGTGTCTAGCTGCTACACCACAGCGCCCCCCACCAGCACCTTTGTTACCTGGGAAGTCAACTCACCAATGAAAAGTTGTGCATGACTGGAATCTGTCTGTTCTTGTCTTTAACTTGACTGATGAGAGAACAGTGACATGTGACAGCTCCCACAATGTGACAGCTCACACAATGTGACAGCTCCCACACTGTGATAGCTCCCACAATGTGACAGCTCACACAATGTGACGGCTCACACAATTTGACGGCTCACACAATGTGATGGCTCCCACAATGTGACGGCTCCCACAATGTGACGGCTCACACAATGTGACAGCTCTCACAATGTGACAGCTCCCACAATGTGACGGCTCACACAATGTGACGGCTCACACAATGTGACGGCTCACACAATGTGATAGCTCACACAATGTGAGAGCTCACACAATGTGACGGCTCACACAGTTTGACGGCTCACACAATGTGACGGCTCACACAATGTGACAGCTCCCACAATGTGACAGCTCACACAATGTGACAGCTCACACAATGTGACAGCTCACACAATGTGACAGCTCACACAATGTGACGGCTCACACAATGTGACGGCTCACACAATGTGATAGCTCACACAATGTGAGAGCTCACACAATGTGACGGCTCACACAGTTTGACGGCTCACACAATGTGACAGCTCACACAATGTGACAGCTCCCACAATGTGACAGCTCACACAATGTGACAGCTCACACATTGTGACAGCTCACACAATGTGACAGCTCACACAATGTGACAGCTCACACAATGTGACAGCTCACACAATGTGACAGCTCACACAATGTGACAGCTCACACAATGTGACAGCTCACACAATGTGACAGCTCACACAATGTGACAGCTCACACAATGTGACAGCTCACACAATGTGACAGCTCACATAATATGACAGCTCACACAATGTGACAGCTCACACAATGTGACAGCTCACATAATATGACAGCTCACACAATGTGACAGCTCACATAATATGACAGCTCACACAATGTGACAGCTCACACAATATGACAGCTCACACAATGTGACAGCTCACATAATATGACAGCTCACATAATATGACAGCTCACACAATGTGATAGCTCACACAATGTGACAGCTCACACAATGTGACAGCTCACACAATGTGACAGCTCACACAATGTGACAGCTCACACAATGTGACAGCTCACACAATGTGACAGCTCACATAATATGACAGCTCACACAATGTGACAGCTCACACAATGTGACAGCTCACATAATATGACAGCTCACACAATGTGACAGCTCACATAATATGACAGCTCACACAATGTGACAGCTCACATAATATGACAGCTCACACAATGTGACAGCTCACACAATATGACAGCTCACACAATGTGACAGCTCACATAATATGACAGCTCACACAATGTGACAGCTCACACAATGTGACAGCTCACACAATGTGACGGCTCACACAATGTGACAGCTCACACAATGTGACGGCTCACACAATGTGACAGCTCACATAAAATGACAACTCACACAAATATCTGAACTTTCCATGAAACTATTCCAAGACTGCACTGACCTTATAAAATAAACTTGTTCCCTGCACTGTGTACTTTCTTCTTGAAAACAAATCTTTTGAATCCTAGAATATTTTAAGACAAATTGCAGTTGGTTTTCACAAGAAGTAACAAACGGACAAGAAAATTGTCATATTCACCTCTGAAATGAGATGACAGAAGTGTCAGAGAAGCAAATGTCTGGAGGAAGGCGGGATTTCATTTGTAAAGCAAAACGCGGGGTGAGCTCGTGTCAAAGAAGCTCGTGTTTATCTAGGTAACCATGTGTCTGTGGAATTGGCTTGTACAATATCAGTGAGCTATAGCAGTCTACACAGAAATCACGTTCCTGTAGCTCATTTCTTCTCACTCTCAGTATTCCCTGTCCAAGATTCAGCATTAGAAAAAGCCACTGTCACTATTGTTTGTTTCACTGCTTTCTAGTGTGGTGCAGGCACTGGGTCATGGGCATGTTTCATTTTGCCCCCGACAGAAAAACTCCATCACCTTATCCGGGATCAAATCCTGGTCTCCCGCATCAGTGTCTGATGTTGTAACCACTCGGCCAGCCTCTACTCTATTTTAAAAAAAAAAAAAGAATTATTGTTCAGGTCTCAGTGTGCATGGGATATATGGTATAGACCAGACATGTTAAATATGCAGCCCTCTGCAAACACACCTGTGCCTCCTTGTCAGCACACCTGTGCCCCTTTGCCAGCACACCTGTGCCCCTTTGCCAGCACACCTGTGCCCTTTTGCTAGCCCACCTGTGCCGCTTTGCAAACACACTTGTGCCCCTTTGCCATTACACCTGTGCCCCTTTACCACCACAATTGTGCCCCTTTGCCAGCACACCTGTGCCCCTTTGCCAGCACACCTGTGCCCCTTTGCCAGCACACCTGGGCCCTTTTGCTAGCCCACCTGGGCCCCTTTGCCAGCCCACCTGGGCCCCTTTGCCAGCCCACCTGGGCCCCTTTGCCAGCACACCTGTGCCCCTTTGCCAGCACACCTGTGCCCCTTTGCCAGCACACCTGTGCCCCTTTGCCACTACACCTGTGCCCCTTTGCCACCACACCTGTGCCCCTTTGCCAGCACACTTGCAGCCACCAATAAAAAATATTTTAAAAATATATAAAATATTTTTTATTAAAAGACTTCACCTAGCTATAGTGTGCGGCCCTCAAGACAACACAAATATGCCCCACATGCCCCTCGGGGGACCATCAGTTTCATAAGTCTGGTATAGACCATATCATAGATACCAATCAGAACCGGACTAGTGATGTGGTTACCATCACATTACCCCCATAATTCCGACTGCAGCTCAGGTCAATTCACATACAGCATTTTCAACTGAATGGATATTTAACAAAATACCAGCTGGCAAGTATGTCAGCCACTGCATCATGGCAGCTCACAAACATACATACATTTGTAAAAACAAAACCTATACTGTGCTATGTGTTCAAATATCTTAGCCAGATTTCTATCACACAATTAGACCAAAACATAAAACACACAATGAGCTGCTAAAGACAATAGAGATTCATGTGCAGGTGAACACAGTACTCACCAAGAAATCATCAAAATCCATGGCTTCAAACTCAGTCAAAATCTCATCACAGATCAGCTGAAGTCAGAAAACAAAACTTCTAGGGTCAATGTTCAAATGTTACAATCAACGTCATCTGTTCCACCGTTAACAAAAACAGAATCTGTCTACTTTCAGCAAACCTATACATGATCGGTTTTCATTGCAGAAATTATCACCAAAGCACGCATAAATTATCTACAAAGTAATCTTCTTTATTTTCTGTGGACATTGCATACCTGCGGCTGTGTTGCCAGGATGAATTATAAAATGCTAATTCATGCACATGTAGATAGTGAAAAGACTGGAAGAGCTTGTTAATCTGGTCACAAAATGACTTGGATGCACAAGTCCTTATAATGAAACAGACCTTGTTCCATACCGCGCCTGCAGACTGGGTACGCTGTGTCTAAAACCTCTGCAGTGTGCAATATACAAATACCCTCAAATGTATGCATCTGAACTGAAAGGCTGTAGTGGGGCCAGGTCTTCATTGACCTCTACATCGCCGAAAAAGAGACAACATTTACTGAAAAAATGCAGTTACCTTATTGTCATAAGACAGGTTGAGCATCTTCACAGTGTGGTAATCTGTCACAGCTGAAACCATTTTGTGAGAAGATGACTGGCAAACAAGTCTCAGGGTTTCAGAAAACACAAGGGCAAGAACTCTGTCCAACCAGTTTCTATCACAGTCTGAAAATGCACTGTGGAAAAATATTTTTTATTGTAATTTTTGTCTGTTAACAGAACCAACATTTACTGTACTACAGACAAACTAATCAGCATCAAGTGTGCCCCCCCCCCCCCCCCCCCCCATCATCTGGACCAAATCTTGCTCTCTAAGTCCGCAACAGCATCTTGGGAAGGCAACAACAGCTATTCTGGCATACACATGCAACAGTATAGGCCACTGACATGCCGTCTACAGCAAGTATCTTACCACTGAACATCTGAAAACAGGAGCACCATTAACGAACAGAAGGCATCCAAGCAAGCAGCCAGATCCACACTTGATATCCTGAAATCAGAAATCACAGTTCTCAGGTTCGTAACTCAAAGGATACATTTCATGTTCATGAAGCACTTTCACTATTTCAGTTAAGCCACAGACAACAATAAATCATTTATATTCACCACTTATATTTACAGACTGTTTGACATGCTCCATAAAATGTTAGACTTCACTATATTTACAGACTGTCAAATGTGTGTGGGAATACTCTGTATTTTCAAATGCTAGAACTAATTTGTTTTTTCTGGTATATTTACCTGCTGTCTGGCATGGCGAACACAAGAACATCCTTGCCAAACTGCTTGTACACAACATTCACAGGGACCTCACTCAACACAAGCTTTGTGCTGAAATCATAATATGACAATCAGTGTAAATAAAAGAAAAGGTAACTACACTAGCAGTTATTCTATCAATGACAACTATACCAATAGTTATTCTATCAATGATAACTATATAATAGTTATTCTATCAATGACAACTACGCCAGCAGTTATTCTATCAATTACAACTATACCAGCAGTAATTCTATCAATGACAACTATACCAATAGTTATTCTATCAACTACAACTATACCAGCAGTTATTCTATCAATGACAACTATACCAGCAGTTATTCTATCAATGACAACTATACCAGCAGTTATTCTATCAATGACAACTATACCAATAGTTATTCTATCAATGACAACTATACCAATAGTTATTCTATCAACTACAACTATACCAGCAGTTATTCTATCAATGACAACTATACCAATAGTTATTCTATCAATGACAACTATACCAATAGTTATTCTATCAACTACAACTATACCAATAGTTATTCTATCAATGACAACTATACCAATAGTTATTCTATCAATGACAACTATACCAATAGTTATTCTATCAATGACAACTATACCAATAGTTATTCTATCAACTACAACTATACCAGCAGTTATTCTATCAATGACAACTATACCAGCAGTTATTCTATCAATTACAACTATACCAATAGTTATTCTATCAATGACAACTATACCAATAGTTATTCTATCAATGACAACTATACCAATAGTTATTCTATCAATGACAACTATACCAGCAGTTATTCTATCAATTACAACTATACCAATAGTTATTCTATCAATTGACAACTATACCAATAGTTATTCTATCAATGACAACTATACCAATAGTTATTCTATCAATTACAACTATACCAATAGTTATTCTATCAATGACAACTATACCAATAGTTATTCTATCAACTACAACTATACCAGCAGTTATTCTATCAATGACAACTATACCAACAGTTATTCTATCAATGACAACTATACCAACAGTTGTTCTATCAATGACAACTACACCAACAATTATTCTATCTGTTATCCTTTCCTTGCAGACCGGACAGGCGTCTGCTGACAATGAAATAGCTAAAACATGAAAGGAAAATGACCAGATAAGGCTTGATCCCAGCCAGTCTTGACTGCCTGTAATTACCTGGAGTGATGTGAGACAGGGGATCATTACCTTGAGGATTTAAGGCCTCAAGGCTACTTCAGTCACCACAAACTATGCAGGTTAGTTTTTTTTTTTTTTTTTTTTTTTGCACCTGAAAGAAGTAATCTCCACCCCGTACTGAGGGGTGAAGCTGGGTCTTCCTCGCAAGTCCAGCATACTAACAATTGAGCTTGCTATCCCTGAAGTGGGAAATACTGACAGGAAGCAGTCATATCTAAACATAGCTGTGTCACAGACAGGTCAGACATTTCTTGGCTCAGGCTGTGTCACAGATAGGTCAGACATATCTTGGCTCAGGCTGTGTCACAGACAGGTCATATATATCTTGGCTCAGGCTGTGTCACAGACAGGTCAGACATATCTTAGCTCAGGCTGTGTCACAGAGAGGCCAGACATTTCTGGGCTCAGGCTGTGTCACAGACAGGTCAGACATATCTTGGTTAAGCTGTATCACAGACAGGTCAGACATATCTTGGCTCAGCTGTGTCACAGACAGGTCAGACATATTTTGGCTCAGATGTGTCACAGAGAGACTAGACATATCTTGGCTCAGCTGTGTCACAGAGAGGCCAGAGATATCTTGGCTCAGATGTGTCACAGAGTGACTAGACATATCTTGGCTCAGCTGTATCACAGAGAGGCCAGAGATATCTTGGCTCAGATGTGTCACAGAGAGACTAGACATATCTTGGCTCAACTGTGTTCCAGACAGGTTAGACATCTCACTTCAGCTATAAACAATCTAGCACAATCTTTCTGTAAAATAAAGAAGAACAAATGAAAGGCATTTTTTTTTTAAAATATGAAACACGATAAGTCTGATGTACCCCTGGCATTAGAAATGGTCCTGAGCTGTTTAAGAGGCACGGCACTCACCAAGAAGCTGGCTGGTCCACAACATCAACAAGGAGGGAACTCAGGGTGAGAAAGAGGCCTCGGAGTGCTGTCAGAGTTTGTTCTTCTGGGGGAAATGTATAGATCACATCTTCCTGTGAGATAGTTGTAGACAAATACATGTTTATCTGACACAGTAACTGCATATCTCTGACAGTAATTGCATATCTCTGAGAGTAATTGCATATCTCTGACAGTAATTGCATATCTCCAACAGTAATTGCATATCTCTGACAGTAATTGCATATCTCCAACAGTAATTGCATATCTCTGACAGTAATTGCATATCTCTGAGAGTAATTGCATATCTCTGACAGTTATTGCATATCTCCAACAGTAATTGCATATCTCTGACAGTAATTGCATATCTACGACAGTAATTGCATATCTCCGACAGTAACTGCATATCTCAGACAGTAATTGCATTATCTCTGACAGTAATTGCATATCTCCGACAGTAATTGCACATCTGACAGTAATTGCATATCTCCGACAGTAATTGCATATCTCCGACAGTAATTGCACATCTCTGACAGTAACTGCACATCTCAGACAGTAATTGCATACCTTAGACACTAACTGCATACCTCAGTCACTAACTGCATACCTCTGACAGCTTCTGCACACTAGAAACATGAACTGCGTCGCATAAAAGGAAATTATCATCAAGTGCCACCGCTGCAGTGAAGGTCAGAGGTAACGAATCTCCAACCTCAGCTCTCTTGTACCCATGCAGGCCAATCACTAGAAGTACACCCACATGTAACATTGTGTGACTCTCGAAGGTGATCCCCTTTTGCCTCAAGCACAGCCATAAAAAGCCATGACACAACCTTAACCGTCTAACCTTCATTCGTTTTGCTTGTCCACACAGGCCACATCTCTAGTCTACCCAGGACACATCTCTTGTCTACCCAGGACACATCTCTTGTCTACCCAGGCCACATCTCTTGTCTACCCAGGTCACATCTCTTGTCTACCCAGGACACATCTCTAGTCTACCCAGGCCACATCTCTAGTCTACCCAGGACACATCTCTTGTCCTGTCAGGCCACATCTCTAGTCTACCCAGGCCACATCTCTAGTCTACCCAGGACACATCTCTAGTCTACCCAGGCCACATCTCTAGTCTACCCAGGCCACATCTCTAGTCTACCCAGGACACATCTCTAGTCTACCCAGGACACATCTCTAGTCTACCCAGGCCACATCTCTTGTCTACCCAGGACACATCTCTAGTCTACCCAGGACACATCTCTAGTCTACCCAGGACACATCTCTTGTCTACCCAGGACACATCTCTTGTCCTGTCAGGCCACATCTCTAGTCTACCCAGGATACATCTCTTGTCCTGTCAGGCCACATCTCTAGTCTACCCAGGACACATCTCTAGTCTACCCAGGACACATCTCTTGTCCTGTCAGGCGTCATCTCTGAGCCAACCAGGCCACATCTCTGGTCCACCCAGGCCACATATCTAGGCAGCCCCCATGTACACACATGCATATACTCCTTTGTTTAGTATTAAGTAACATGTTGTTCCAAATCTGATAACTATAATGAGAAAAAACATTTCTCAGGAACCCACCAAGCAATGATAGAGGCAGGCATAAAAACACTCAGAGACAACCGAATTAAAGATAGACAATCTATAATAAAGGACATGGACGGCATCAATTAAGATGACAAAAGTTGGCTGGGGTTTTTTTTTTTTAATGGTTTATGCTACAATGGTAGATAAAAGGTAGTTGCATATGAAAGGCTGTGCCATATAAAAGGTAGTTCCATACAAAAATTAGTTCAATTAAACAGGTAGACCTAGGTCATAATCTGCAATTGGGGTCAGAAACACCTTCAAATATTCTACGCCACCGTCTGAGATGAAGTGACCAGTTCCCCTCAGCACCAGCTGTTTTTCCAAGACAAGGCTCAAATCTCAACTAAATAGGCCCTTGTCACACTGACAGACAGGCTGGCTGACACACAGAAACATGCCACTGTTAAATGGGAACCTTTGTCATGGTAGGAGAGAACACTAACAACTTACCACCACTGCATCTATGTTACTTAAAGTGTATGGAAAATTATAGTGTTCATAAAATACTTGTCAGTTCTTACCTTACTGTCACTTTCTGCCCCCTCTGGAGACCTAACAAGTGTCAGATACAACACAACACATGACAGACTTGACAGCTCTGATTGGATGTCTGATAACCTTTTGCCAGTCACAGCCAAACAAAGGTCACTTCCTGTCACCTCTAGTACACAATAGGAAGGTTTGGGGCCAATTATTCTGGGTGACTGTAACGTCAGTTTCACCCTCTGGAAGACAAACAAAGCTCAAATACACATCAGGGTCATATGTCTCTTCTCTCTGAGAACCCCAGATCTGCAAAATCTGCATTCCAGGATATTTTATCTGCAATTCCTTGGTTCTTGGTGAGTTGTTATGCACAAACTCATCATTATCATGTATCATACATATCTAAAAGAGATCATAGCTCAACAGATCCATGATCACAGAGCAGGTCTGTGTTCTGAGAGAGGTTTAATACCACAACCTGCAATACAATCATGGAAAGATTAACCTGCAATTATCTTCTTCTTCTCTACTCCTGGAATACCTCTCAGAGTCAGGGCAGGAAGAGATCTCTGAAACGGGCCCTTCTGTTCACTTTGTGTATTTTTTAGTGTCTCTGATATTTCTGTGGTCCAATATTTTTTAGGTCCAATATTTCTGTGGTCCAATATTTCTGTCTCCAACTTCTGCATGGTCGACCTCTGGCTCTGTTAACGCTGTATCTGTATAACATTTCTCTCTGCGATGCCCTGTCTGACACCAATGTTGTTACATGACCAAACCATTCAATTTGTTGTCTATCTATAAAGTTCAGTACTGGTTCTGGGCAGACTCCTCCTGATACCATTATTCCTAAGTTGATCTTAACCTGTCTCACACCAACCACATGAATGCTTGTCATCAAGATGGGAGAAAATGCAATGAAACAATCATGGAAAGGTTACTCTCAATAATCCTTCTTACCATTTGTCCAGGATATTAAGGTGTGCGAGGTAATGAGCAAGCTGATAGATTGGCTGCTGCTGCCCACTGGGTGGTGAGCTACTTAATGACAAAGTAGACATGGTGAAGGCTCTATGGGATCCAATAGACAGAGAATGCAATCACTGAAAGACTAATTCAACGGGACGTGGGTAAAGGGTCTTTAAGATATTCAAAACTGAAGGGGAAACATAAGTGGACTTTTAATCAGGTTGCAACTAGTACTATCAGCATGTCAACTCTTCGCTGGCTGCTGAAGAAGGGGATGGAGCAAGTGTGGGAATGTCCAGAGACCAGTGATGTCAATTCTTGATTCATTCAAATCATTTTATCTCAGAACAATACCTTCTTACAAATAAAGATGTGGTAAAACTTCCTGTATGCAATCATGGACAGATTACTGTCAAAACTGCATGTACGCAATCATGGAAAGATTACTGTCCAGAGTCTATTTTTAAACCAGGAAACCAGATCTCCAGGGTGGCCCAGGGTGCGCTGGGAAGACAACATCCGACAGTCCCTAGCTGACAGAGGAGTGGAATGGAACAAAGCCAGAAAGAAAACTGCTGATAGAGACGTCTGGCGATCTCTCTGGCAAACCTCTACACCCCAAGGTAGAAGAGGAGCAACTAAGTAAGTTAAGTAAGAGTCTATTTTTAAAATCTTACTTTTCTTTTGCTCAGAGACTTCAGCAAGCGGGTAAAATTGAGCCAGGAGACATCGACATCATTGACCTTGATCACCATGTCCCCTGCAACATGTCCTGATGTCTTTCACACTGCCACATTACAATAATGATACAAATATACTAGAGAGGAGAGTTCCAACCCACGTCCTGAAGCCTTTCACACAGCCACATTACAAGAGTGATACAAATATAATAGAGAGGAGGGTTCTAACCCACGTCCTGAAGCCTTTCACACAGCCACATTACAATAATGATACAAATATAATAGAGAGGAGAGTTCCAACCCACGCCCGGAAGACATCATGTGACTCCTTAAACAGCTTAATTAATGTTGTTTTGGTAGTTGCCGATTCATCAGAAGACTGACCACACAGTCTTTTTCTTGGTGTTTGCTGGCTGTAAACTCTGGCGGAAAGTTCTTGTTGTTCATCCACTTCTGGATTGAGTCCTGTTTCAGAATTTGAGTGTTGTGTGCTCATCCATTTTATAAATCTGGCTTATTTGTTTGCAGACTGCTGGTCCCTATCTCTCAAGCAGATGCACTCAGACTTTGAAGAAAACTCCCCTAATTAGATGCCTTTCACAACATGTTTGTGGGCTAGGGTCTTTTTCTCCCCCCCCCCCCCCCCCCTCCCCAAAAAAGGCCCGGTACCAACACAGTGATATCTTCTTATCTGTTGAACCTGAAGAGGTTTTATATACAAAACTGATGAACACAGAAGAAGAACATATTCAAAACTGATGAACACAGAAGAAGAACATATACAAAACTGATGAACACAGAAGAAGAACATATTCAAAACTGATGAACACAGAAGAAGAACATATTCAAAACTGATGAACACAGAAGAAGAACATATTCAAAACTGATGAACACAGAAGAAGAACATATTCAAAACTGATGAACACAGAAGAAGAACATATTCAAAACTGATGAACACAGAAGAAGAACATATACAAAACTGATGAATGCAGAAAAAGAAGATATGTAAAACGGATGAATGCAGAAAAAGAAGATATGTAAAATGGATGAATGCAGAAGAAAAGACGTGCAAAACTACCCAAAATGAATTTACATGCTGGATAGCCACACCTGATTTAACCAGTTTGCAGAAGAGGAAAGGATGGAGGTGGGGGTTGGCGAAAACCAACCAATGGTTAAATCTGATAATGCAGTTAAAACAAAATAAAAAGTGCAGACTCTGGCTCAAAGAAGAAGGCACAAGCACAACTGAACCAAGAACTGCCGTCTATAACCTCCAGTTACACAATACTGTCAGTTAACAGATCTCATTGGACCTTTCAGTCCATAATTGCTCAGATTCTATTCTTCGCTGAAACCTTACAGTCCTATTAGACTTGGCATTCTCTCTGGTCATGGTTGTCAATTCAATCATCTCATGTACATACCCTTACTACAACAAAGCCTAGAACGTCTATGTTGTCTTCGAGGTTAAGACAGTAGATACTCTTATAACCAACTCCTCATGGAAACAATCAGTAGAGGTACCTTGGAGTGGCTGCTACATCGGAGGACTGAGCACGCATGGGAGCAGTCAGTAGAGGTACCTTGGAGTGGCTGCTACATCGGAGGACTGAGCACGCATGGGAACAGTCAGTAGAGGTACCTTGGAGTGGCTGCTACATTTGAGGACTGAGCACGCATGGGGATGACCAATGTGCAAAGACGTCGATTGTGATAAAATAACATAACAAGCCTAGAACATCCTACAAACTTAAACATCTGAAACAGTGACAGTGTTCACAAGACAGTTACATACATTAATATTATGTGCTCCCCCGCAGATAGTTACACGGTCACCAAAATAACAGATCAGGTCAGTGCTTTTCTCTCGCCCAGCCATATCAGTTTTTTTTTAAACTCTTTGCCTCCCCTTTGATCAATTTTGCCTGTTGTAACCAAGTTCTACAGTTCATTTCTTCTTATAACATGTGAAAAATACTGAGGTAAGTTGTGACATGATGACTAATCTAGGCTACCTGAATAATGTAGTTTGCCATTTCTTTCTTTTGGGCAGTGATCATACTGGTCAGGTAATTGTAGGTGATGTTACTTTAGCATCAGCCTCAGCCTAAGATCCAGGAACTTGAGTTCATCACCGCATAAATGCATAAAACACAGACAACCAGATACACACACACACCCACACAGAAATATGATATTCTCACCTCTGTGAATTCTGCCTGATGTATATGCAGGCGATGCCTCCATGACTCCTTGTACAACTAGTTTGCGCTCTTTACTTCCATAATTCCATGGAGCCTTGTCATTGGCATACTCAAGCACTATAATTCCAAACAGCTTTCTGCACAACTCAACCCCTGAACTCTCATTTCCTGACAAACTGTGATGGTTTGGAGCAAGGCTAACATGTTTCAAGCTCCGTCTTTTCTCACTGAATGTGCTCTCCATCTCATGTTTCTTCACATGCATGGCAGAGTCAGTATCTGCTGGTGTTTCCTTGGATACCAGAACTGCCTCTGTTGTCTGTAACTGCATATCTGCGGGGTCTTTTCTATTATTATTTAACACCGAAAGTTGTTTTGTTTTTTGGCGCATCCCAGTCCGTGGTGTAATGAACTCATTATCACTAGAGTCGAGTGGGCCACCATGATTCTTGTATGAGTTGCCACATTGGTCTGTTTGATTTAGTTCATTTTCACAGTTATATTGCCCGTTTGAACCAGAGCCTTTATGTTTTCTGTGTCCACTTCCGGTTGCCAGGTGCTTCTTCAAATGATAGTTATATCCATTTATGTTCTCAAACCTGAAAAATGACAAACAAATAGGATTTGGTGCAGGTTTTTGTAAACAATTGTGAGCAAGCATCGACTTTCACCGTCCACATGTTATTGTGACCTGACTTAAAGAGACGAGAACAGAAACATTAACCTATCATGCAGGTCATGAGAAGCAACTAAGGAGGTTCGGGTGAAACTAGCTACATTATCGCACAGAAAACCTGAGCTGCACAATCTCACAAATCTGGATCAACTCTAAAATGGGCTGGGTGTGAGTTGATTAGGGGCCTATGCTAAGAGTTGTGGGCTTATGGGAGACTGACTGTTTATACATGATTGCCTGCTGAAGAAGAATATGCATCAAAGTTCACACCATCGACAGTCCTCTGTTGTCATCAACTGTTCTTTTCTTCGGTCTACTAGTGTCAAATCATCCAATCCTTAGTCGTCACATGCAGCTCACTATCAAATGTTTTAAAACTCCATGAGTACTATTTAGTTTTTTCACCCCATCTCATTAGGTATGAGATTTGGTAGGAAATTTCCCAGGACAGTCCTACAGTCTAGCAGGTGGGGGTTTATGTTCAGGGTAAGTTTTAGACGCTGCTTATTTAACACTAAGGGAGTCGCCGTGGCCAAGCGGCTAGACGCTCGCTGCGGATCAGAAGGTTGTGGGTTCGCTCCCTGGAGGAGCCGGACTAATTTTCAAAAATGACCTTGGCTCCTAGGTCAACCCAGCCTTAAGTAGGTACCGGGTGCAGTCCTGGGAAGTAAAGGCGGCCGGCGTGATGCTGACCACATCACCCATCTTGTGCCGATTGGTCTATAAAAATATAGGTCTAGCCCTATATGCCTAAAGGCGTGGGAAAGGGTCCTTTACTTCACTTACTTTTACTATTTAACACTAACCCCAAAAGCTTCTATATTCTAGGTGTGTCGTGTGTTATCGTTTATTGCATCATCATTCCACTGTGTTACATTCGTTCGTTTGACCTTCGTGGAGGCACTGTTCTTACTTTGTGACTTGGCCTCCGACATGAATTTTTTTGACCTGTCAGTATTGCTGCATCTAACCCTAACTCTTGAACAGTCGTTCACAGAAAAGACAGTTGCTCACTTTCGTCTAAAAGAAAAGAAAGCTGTGCACTTTCATGTGGGAGACAGTGTGTCAACTTTTTGGCATGTTGTTTACACACGGCAAAAGAAGGAATGTCCTGACCATTTAAAGTATAGGTGTCCCAGGGAATTTCCTTCAAAATCTCGCATTCTATGAGTTGGAATGAAAAAGCTGAATAGTACCTTCCATGGATTTAAGTTTTAGGCTATCCTCCAAATTACGGGCACATATTATGGTGGCCAAAAACACACTCTAACAGGGTCTCAGTCACATGTAAATTGTGTACTTCCGGTGACTACCGCCACCATGCGGCGTGGGAGATACTCTCGGCAGTGGCGGTAGTCCGCAAATTAAGTCGCTGGAAGTGCGCAATTGACATGTGACTGAGGCCCTGTTAGGGTGTTTTTGCGGCCGCCATAATATGTGCCCGTTATTCAGAAGATAGCCAAGTTTTATATAAATATGCTTTTCTAACTGAAATTCTCTAGCCATGAACTGGCAGTCTCTCTCTCTTTCTCTGTATGCATCATATGCATATGACCACAGAGGTATGCTTCTTTAAGTAATAATCAGTTCTATTAAAGCTTCCAACTTTGATTAGTTTCAATATAAGAAAAGCTACCCACATACAAAAAACAGTTTAATGTTTGATTTTCGTATATAGACATATTTTCATCCTCACTGGAGTGTGTCCACTGTGTTTGACCTGCAGCTTTCACAGAGATGACATCCATGTGCAACCAAGGTGATGCATTCACAAAATGAAGATCTCTGTCTTCAAAATGTGTGTATTTTAATCAACTGACCAACCATCGGTTCTTACAACTTACAGTCAGGGTGTAATCATGAATATGACATCCACAATATCATCAGCTGTGTTGATTAATTTCATCGTTATGTCCAGTCAGTCAAATACTTGACCATGCAACGCCAAATAGAAAAAAAAAAAGACAGAAAAGCAGCTATATTTTAGAAGTTCCTTTCAGGGAAAGCTACGTGGTGGCATACCTGGTATACTTAAGGATGGAAGCGACAAAGAACAGCCAAATCCGTACCTGAGATGTTTTGATGAACTCATGATTGATGATTCAACGTGCAGCAGACGATGTGAGCGATCGCAGAAATCTCATGACGTGTGTACGAAAGAAACGTTACCAGTTGTAGTCATATCTGGCGTGTGTCTACAACAACGACTAGACACGGGAGTTGAAACGTCTGGCGACTTTTCGGTGATGACCGAGCCACAAATTCCAGGAATGTATCCAGGGACTGACAGCCGCCGCCATATTGTTGACAGTCACCACATCAACATGCCAGCTACGTTTCGCCAGTGCCGGCCAAAGCTGAATCACGCTTCTGACAAACTTTTCAGAAAGTCGAGACGATAGACTTAAATACATCGGGTTATTCCATATAACGGTTAGCTATCTCGCTACAGACTCCGTAGCTCAAGCAACAAATCTCAGGGATCTTAAAAAAAAAAAACTATCTTAATTGAACGAGTCAGTGAAACAAACCCACGACCTTCAGAGTTGGAGACAAATGGCGTGACAATTCAGCCACACGACCATGGTAACTGCAAAGAAATCGTCTTATTGTCCATGATGTGTTGTGTTGGTGATCATGCATGTCTATAACTTTTTATGCCGCGTACTGTCGGTTATTTCTGATGCAAAAATAAATAATTATATCTTGCAAAACATGAAGTCAAACTGTCTATCTTCAGTCTTGGTTTTTATCTGGCTCTTTTCCCCAATAACCTAGGAGTATCTTTCTTCATTGTACGTTTTAATTCAGCTTTTTCTAATGCACAATTTTAGCTTCAATCGTAGTTTATTCTTAAAATTAAAATTATTAATATTGGCAAATCTTTGCTATCATTGTATAATTGATAAAGCATCTTTTATTTCTTTTTTTTTTTTTACTGTAATCTATGCCATGAGGTTCAGATCCTCACAGTTAGGATACATTCAAAGGATGAAGTCAATTAGTCCAAAAGGTCAACCTCTATGCTATGTGGTTCAGTTCATCAAATAGTTAGGATACATTAAGGACAACCTCTATGGTGAATTACAGATGGGTAGATGACGTCAAGGTCAACAACAGAGTAAGATACAACATTTTGATGACCGCACTCAGTGAGAAGGGGGTCGCCGTGGCCCAGCGGCTAGACGCTCGCCGCGGATCGGAAGGTCGTGGGTTCGCTCCCTGGCAGAGCCGGACTATTTTCAAAAATTTTCGTGGAAAGGGTCCTTTACTTTTTTTTTACTGAGTGAGAAGGGGGTCAGTCCTTGGTTGGTGAATTTGATGGCGGCTGTCCTGTATACTCGTCCGGTTGCTCTCCGTCTGGTTTCATGGATCTTGGAACTATGCATTATAGCTGACTATCCTGTCTGTGCTCTTTAAAGTGTATGTGATCAAAATTGCAAGTTTAGAAGCACAATGAGTTGGAAGTTGCAGATGATGTGCTCGTATATAGGCAGGGGAGTGAGAGGCAACAAACAGCACAGGAGCTGCAGCAACAGAGTGACTGACTGATTTACAGAAATTAGTGCTGTCGTCTATCCAGAATGGGCGTCTGTGTTGTGGTGTTCTCTAGACAACAGGATCGTTAGAACTGATGTCCTGGGTCTTACTATAGATGGTAGAAACGTCAACAGAGAGAGCAAACTGAAGTACTTGGGAATCAATTAGACATGAGCCTGTCCTTCAAGGACCATGTGGGGATGGTTGTGACAAGATACTAAAAAGGACTCAATTCACTTGACTATGGCTGCAAAAGACAGAGCAGAGAATGCTATTCACACTATATCAGCACCTGATTCTTTCAGGGATTGATTATGGCCCATGACTGCTTACCATCTCAAAGAGTCAGATGGACAAACAGAGTGTATACAGAACGCAGCTATGCAAGTATTTCTGGGTTGTACCAGAAACATCCCAGTGGTGTGTATGCGATTCATCCTTGGTTTGCCGACTGTCGCAGGTAGGCACAAAGTGCTGCAGGCGAAGTCATATCTCAAGGTAGCTGCAGACATAGATCACCCTTTGTAGACTGTTGGTTCCTTGCCTCTCAGGCAGATGCACTCCAACTCTGAAGGAAGCCTCCCATTTAGTCGACTCTTATGACATGCTTGTTGGGAGGCAGTGGTTTAATTCTTGTTTTCCCTAAAATGGGGCTCTGGAACCCACAAGGGGAGGCCTCCAGTTGTGGCCAATATTCTACAGATCACCAGCTTATCTGCAGACGTGAATCATCATTACTTCTGTGTCGGACACACCCTGCCGAGTGTTGTCTGGAGATGGAAGGGTGGCCAATATTTTACAGATCACCAGCTTATCTGCAGACATGAATCACCATTACTTCTGCGTCGGACATACCCTGCCGAGTGTTGTCTGGAGATGGAAGGGTGGCCAATATTCTACAGATCACCAGCCTATCTGCAGACATGAATCCTCACTACTTCTGTGTCGGACACACCCTGCCGAGTGTTGTCTCGAGATGGAAGGGTGGCCAATTTTCTACATATCACCAGCCTATCTGCAGACATGAATCACCACTACTTCTGTGTCGGACACACCCTGGCGAGTGTTGTCTGGAGATGGAAGGGTGGCCAAGCAATAGTCACCAAGCTGGAGGTCCTCGACTCATGGCTGCGGAGACAATTCTGCAATCTCATTCCTCAACTTCTGGCTGGGGAGACAATTCTACAATCTCATTCCTTGACTCCTGGCTGGGGAGACAATTCTGCAGTCTCATTCCTTGACTCCTGGCTGGGGAGACAATTCTACAATCTCATTCCTTGACTCCTGGCTGGGGAGACAATTCTGC